GACAATGTCTTATTGACTTTGGAAAGAGTAATGTTTCCAAAGCAGAGAACGGGCCATTTTAGTGTTGTTATGGATAACAACAAATGAAGAGTGTTTCTTGCAAAAGATAATTTCAAGGTTGTGTGGGGGAGGGGTTAGCATAAATCTGATTATCAGAGTTGCTGAAAGCCATAACTCCCATTGACTTCAGTCAGAACTGTGAGTGCACAGCACAGCTGAAAATTAGGTCCCTGAGCAGCTATACTCGTTTTGGAACAATGCTGCACTCCTTCCAATCCCCCGCCCCTAGCCTCAGAGGTCAGGGAAAGGCTTTATCTGGGGCAGCAGGGAAAGAAGAACCATGGCCTCTTTAAGGATTACCCCCCCCTCACTTTGAGGAGGTCAAAAGGTGATACTGTGGCTGATTGGTTGGATAGAAGAGTGAAACGTAAGCCTGTTGGCTGCCTCGCACCCAAGGGGAGAGCATATAAGCCTTTCCTTCTGCACAGGAGCCTTTCTTTCCTTCTGCACCTGGTGATGGAGGTAGAGTTGCTGTAAGGTGGCAGGCAGCATAAAAACCTGCTCTGGTTGTTTACGGCCAAGGCACCCCACTGTGCACTGCAAGGTGGAGGGTCCCCATGAGCCTCAGGGTCAGAAGTGGGATCTGTAATGCTTCCTGGAGGTATCAAAGGTTGTGAAACAACTCACTACTACCTGCCCTTAGCATGAAGAAGCTTTGTCTGTCCCTGATGGGGGTCAGCTCCCATACTCCACTGCCACTGGCAACACAAGCATTCCTCTTTAGGCCTATGCAGGCTCCACTGTTTCTCTACAGGTTAGCAGTAGGCACACTCCAACCTCCTGGAGTGTCCAGCCCCTGTCCAGGTTTTGCTGTCATCCATCATTCATGAGACAAGTCCTACTGTCAGCTTGCCTCTTTGGTGAAAGATAAAATCTTGTCCCCTCTCTTTTTTGTTGTTGTTGCTGTTACAGACCGTTGTCTCTTATCCCAGGAGCTCCCATCTTCAGAGGCTTATCTTGGAGTTCCTTGTCTTCGTAAATCCTCAGGCCCGCACCTGGCCTAGAAACTAGGCAGGTGTTCATGGTTCTATGTGCTGATTGAGTTAGCCCTGAGGCTTGTCTCGACTCAGGTTACAAGTTTTACTTCACCTGTTTTGGACCGACTGGTGTGCCGCAGGGATGGGTCAGTACTGGGGCTGGTTTTGTTCAACATCTTTATTGATGATCTGGATGATGGGATTAATTGCACCCTGAGCAAGTTTGCAGATGACACCAAGCTGCGGGGAGAGGTAGATATGCTGGAGGGTCCAGAGTGACCTAGACAAATTGGAGGATTGGGCCAAAAGAAATCTGATGAGGTTCAACAAGGACAAATGCAGAGTCCTGCAATTAGGAAGTCTGGGGACCGACTGGCTAAGCAGCAGTTCTACAGAAAAGGACCTGGGGATTACAGTGGACAAGAAGCTGGATGTGAGTCAGCAGCAGCATATTGGGCTGAATTAGTAGGATCGTTGCAAGCAGATCGAGGGAAGTGATTAGTCCCCTCTACTCGGCGCTGGTGAAGCCACACCTGGAGTATTGCATCCAGTTTTGGTCCCCACACTATAGAGGGATGTGGACAAATGGGAGAGAGTCCAGCGGAGGGCAACGAAAATTATTAGGGGCCTGGGCACATGACTTTGGAGGAGAGGCTGAAGGAACTGCGGTTATTTAGTCTACAGAAGAGAAGAGTGAGGGGAGATTTCATAGCAGCCTTCGACTGCCTGATGGGGAGGTTCCAAAGAGAATGGAGCTCGGCTGTTCTCAGTGGTGGCAGATGACCAACAAGGAGCAATGGTCTCAAGATGCAGTGAGGGAGGTCTAGGTTGCATATTAGGAAACACTATTTCACTAGGACGATGGTGAAGCACTGGAATGGGTTACCTAGGGAGGTGGTAGAATCTCCATCCTTAAAGGTTTTTAAGGTCAGGCTTGACAAAGCCCTGGCTGGGATGATTTAGTTGGGGATTAGTTCTGCTTTGAGCCAGGGGTTGGACTAGATGACCTCCTGAGGTCTCTTCTAACCCTAATATTCTATGATTCCCCAAATGCCTTGTCATAATTATTATGATCAGTAGGATACTGGCTCTTGCTAGAGACCTCACGTGCCCCTCTGGTGAACTATTATGCATATATTTGACCCAGGAGATCCCCGTGAAACCCTCTGTTAGTTGGCAGCAAGAGTCCCTGGGTCCCAGCAAGGACTGGGTGGAAATCACCCTCAGGATTGCAGCAGCAGAAAGAATGTGTGGCAGCAGTCATGCCAAAGTAGTGGCCCAGGGCTGGGCCGGGCCGTTTGCACGCAATAGGAGCCACAGCTTTTACCCTGTGGGGGTGATAGAGAAGGATGGAAGTTTGGGATGTTTCTTGTTGATCCCGGGATGGATGAGTGGGTCCTGAAGGGGCAGCATGGTTGATATGTTGCTGAGCTCTTGCCCCCACAGGACTATGGCAGGAAGGAAAAGTGGGGGGAATGGCAGGAAGTTCCCTAGGGGCTGAAATCACTGATGGGGGAGAAGAGAAGGAACTTGGAAGTTTCCCTTTGACAGGGGTTCAAGATCTCCACGATACAAAGATCAGATGTTGAAGCAGTTTTCTTTCCCCCGGATTGTTTAGCAGTTAGCACCACCCTGTAGCACAGGCTCCATATTCTGCTGACAGCTGCATTGCTAAAATGGATTTGTGGATTTCCTGAATCCTAGTGCCCAAACATTAAGGGTAGGCAAAGTAACCCGCTGTCATAAAATCTGGGCCTTGCACCAATTCATGACTTGCATAGGTTCAAGATTGGAGTAGTGGCAGCAGCCAATGGAGCGTTGGTCTTTCCCGCAGGCAGAACGTTACAGATCAAACACCTTTAAATCTAACTCAAGGCCACTCAAACGGCTTCCACTGCATTGAGAGTGAGTGGGAGGCATATAGTGTGGTGGAAGCCACTGCAATTAACAGTCCCAGTCTTTCATAGAATATCAGGGTTGGAAGGGACCTCAGGAGATCATCTAGTCCAACCCCCTGCTCAAAGCAGGACCACTCCCCAACTAAATCATCCCAGCCAGGGTTTTGTCAAGCCTGACCTTAAAAACCTCTAAGGATGAAGATTCTACCACCTCCCTAGGTAACCCATTCCAGTGCTTCACCACCCTCCTAGTGAAAAAGTTTTTCCTAATATCCAACCTAAACCTCCCCCACTGCAACTTGAGACCATTACTCCTTGTCCTGTCATCTGCTACCACTGACAACAGTCTAGATCCATCCTCTTTGGAACCCCCTTTCAGGTACTTGAAAGCAGCTATCAAATCCCCCCTCATTCTTCTCTTCCGCAGACTAAACAATCCCAGTTCCCCCAGCCTCTCCTCATAAGTCATGTGTTCCAGTCCCCGAATCATTTTTGTTGCCCTCCACTGGATGTTTTTCAATTTTTCCACATCCTTCTTGTAGTGTGGGGCCCAAAACTGGACACAGTACTCCAGATGAGGCCTCACCAATGTAGAATAGAGGGGAACAATCGCATCCCTCGATCTGCTGGCAATGCTCCTACGTATACATCCCAAAATGCCATTGGCCTTCTTGGCAACAAGGGCACACTGTTGACTCATATCCAGCTTCTCATCCACTGTAACCCCTAGGTCCTTTTCTGCAGAACTGCTGCCTAGCCATTCGGTCCCTGGTGTGTAGCAGTGCATGGGATTCTTCCATCCTAAGTGCAGGACTCTGCACTTGTCCTTGTTGAACCTCATCAGACTTCTTTTGGCCCAATCCTCTAATTTGTCTAGGTCCCTCTGTATCCTATCCCTGCCCTCCAGCGTATCTACCTCTCCTCCCAGTTTAGTGTCATCTGCAAACTTACTGAGGCTGCAATCCACACCATCCTCCAGATCATTAATGAAGATATTGAACAAAACCGTCCTGAGGACTGATCCTTGGGGCACTCCACTTGATACCGGCTGCCAACTAGACATGGAGCCATTGATCACTACCCGTTGAGCCCTACAATCTAGCCAGCTTTCTATCCACCTTATCGTCCATTCATCCAGCCCATAATTCTTTAACTTACTGGCAAGAATACTGTGGGAAACCGTGTCAAAAGCTTTGCTAAAGTCAAGGAACAACACGTCCACTGCTTTCCCCTCATCCACAGAGCCAATTATCTTGTCATAGAAGGCAATTAGGTTAGTCACGCATGACTTGCCCTTGGTGAATCTTTGCTGACTGTTCCTGATCACTTTCTTCTCCTCTAAGTGCTTCAGAATTGATTCCTTGAGGACCTGCTCCGTGGTTTTCCCAGGGACTTTCAGTGAAGCAGGCTTAAATAGGAGTATCTGCTTCTATTATAGTGTACTTTCTCTAAGCCAATAGAGATGATATTTAAAGGGATATAATATATATATAAAAAATCTAATTATTTTGAAAGGAATTTAGGGGCAGAGGTAGAAAAGGAAGGTGTGGAAGCTAATAGACTAATTTGGATCTGGGAAAGTGGGCATGCTTCCCACTGAAGATGTGCAAGCATGCTGTTGGACAGAGATTCGGACGAAAACTCAGCAATGTCAGAATATAACAGATTAGTCTGTTGGGTCCACAGTACAGTTAGGGCTCTGGCATGGAGGAAATTGGATTGATGGTTCCAGTGTGTAAGGGAATTAAATGCGACCAGGCTGACTATAGATGGGGCTGGTATCACTGCCTATTATTAAAGTTACCCAGCACTTCCCATTATGAACTGTTTTCAGTTGCTTTCATTTTGCCAAGAGGCAGGACTGGAACAGGTTGGAGGGGGTGGGCTGAATGGGTCAGGGCTGTGACTAACTAGCAGAAGAGACTGTTGCCACCAGAGCACTGTCGACTCCAGAGCTTGGAATGGAACTCAAGATTCCTGAATCTCACTGTTTCTCTGCCAGGACGTTCCACAAATATTTGTTGACAGCAAAGTGTCTCATTCCCTCCCCTCCTGCCCCCCACAGTACTGGTCCACAGGAGATGACAACATACAACTGCTACCTGTTACAGTGGAGCTAAAGGTTCCAACCCTGCTGATGAACCATGTAGGTATCATCAATACGATATCGCTTAATGGAATTTTTGGTTTTTCAGTTTTTTTTATTAATCTAAGAAATTACACACACACAAACTATGTTAAAACAATACTATTAAGATTGGAAAGTCAAGCACTCAAAAGTTAGGAAATGACAGAATTAAATATGTCTTTTTAACCTTGATTTAGCCCTGTTGTGCATCTGTATTATGATACAGTCTTTAGCTACATGCTCCTGCTTCGTTTAGTAAACAGGATGGATGATGCTCACTTAATGAGCTATTCAGTATTTTGTTTTCTAATTGTTCATTGTGTGGTCCTTATTTACTACACACTATTCAGATCCTGCTCTGAAGACAGAATTATTAATTTCTTCATAGGGTTTTCTATGGATATTATAGTGTCTGCTTTACAAACAATAATGAATTTATTTTCATAACACGTAAGATGAATGGGTTTTATTATCCCCATGTTACAGTGGAAGAACTGAGTCACAGAGAGATTAAGGGAAAAAATATCTACTAATTTTGAGTGTCCAATCAGAGACACCTAGGACCTGATTTTTTTCAGAATACCTGATTACGTAGTACTTTATATATTCAGGTATTTTTCAGAATACCTAAGATTACATAGCACTTTATATGTTCAAACCGCAGCTCCCATTGACTTCAGTTATAGCTATGAGTGCTTAAGGCCCTCTGCAAATCAGACTCCAGGGTATGGAGAGGGGAACCCAGAAAATGAGGAGTACACAATTAGTGACCACCCATGAAAGGTTTAGTTTAAGTGATTTACCTAGCATCACACAGGCACTCTGTGGCAGAGGCAGGGATAGAATCCAATTCACCAGAGTCGTTGTCATAAATATAAAGGGAAGGGTAAACCCCTTTGAAATCCCTCCTGGCCAGGGGAAAGCTCCTCTCACCTGTAAAGGGTTAAGAAGCTAAAGGTAACCTCGCTGGCACCTGACCAAAATGACCAATGAGGAGACAAGATACTTTCAAAAGCTGGGAGGAGGGAGAGAAACAAAGGGGTCTGTGTCTGTCTGTATGCTGCTCTTGCCAGAGACAGAACAGGAATGGAGTCTTAGAACTTTTAGTAAGTAATCTAGCTAGGTATGTGTTAGATTATGATTCCTTTAAATGGCTGAGAAAAGCATTGTGCTGAATAGAATAACTATTTCTGTCTGTGCATCTTTTTTGTAACTTAAGGTTTTGCCTAGAGGGGTTCTCTATGTTTTTGAATCTAATTACCCTGTAAGATATCTACCATCCTGATTTTACAGGGGGGATTTCTTTATTTCTATTTACTTCTATTTTTTATTAAAAGTCTTCTTGTAAAAAACTGAATGCTTTTTCATTGTTCTCAGATCCAAGGGTTTGGGTCTGTGGTCACCTATGCAAATTGGTGAGGCTTTTTATCCAACATTTCCCAGGAAAGGGGGGGTGCAAGTGTTGGGAGGATTGTTCATTGTTCTTAAGATCCAAGGGTCTGGGTCTGTAGTCACCTAGGCAAATTGGTGAGGCTTTTTACCAAACCTTGTCCAGGAAGTGGGGTGCAAGGTTTTGGGAAGTATTTTGGGGGGAAAGACGCGTCCAAACAGCTCTTCCCCAGTAACCAGTATTAGTTTGGTGGTGGTAGCGGCCATTCCAAGGATAACGGGTGTAATATTTTGTACCTTGGGGAAGTTTTGACCTAAGCTGGTAAAGATAAGCTTAGGGGGTTTTTTCTTGCAGGTCCCCACATCTGTACCCTAGAGTTCAGAGTGGGGGAGGAACCTTGACAGTCGTATTCATTTTTCTTAACCATGAGACCATTCTTTTCCTTTCTGCAATCTCTAGCCTCATTTGCTACACACCATTCGTCATCTGCAACGAATGAAGCAGCGGTCCTAAACAAACCCACTCCTTCACTACTCAATCCCAATTCATTCCTGAGAACAAGTCCATCCTGTGCACTGAATGTTTGGAAAAAAAAAAAATTGTGTTCATGTAATTAAAGACTAATCATATTGAACACACACAAGGGGCTCAGGCAACCTTAATTCTGCCATTTCCTAACTTTTAAGTGCTTGACTTGGCAACCTTAAAGTTATTTATAATGCAGGGTCTGTGTATCTGTGTGTTATCTTTAAATATAATTATAATGGATGACTTTGGCTATTTAAATGTCATCCTTTGTTCCCAACTAGACAACCTTCACTGTGGGCAAATGTTGGTGGAATTCATGCAAATACAAACATGGAGGTTAAAAATAAAATACAACATTTTGGCACTGGAGGAGCATGTTTGGTCCAGACCCCCAGGGGAGGTTACACTCCATTAGTGGGAGTCTGTCAGATGCTCTCCATCTAGGGACAGGAACAGGAGCAGAGAAAGGGCTTAATCTGTCGTTGAGCTCAAGATGCTCTGGGCACTCCTGTGGGATTACCATGACGAGAGAGCATAGTGAGGAAACGATGTTCAGCATGACTAAATATAGCATTTACTGTATAGAGATAAAAAGAAAAGGAGTACTTGTGTCACCTTAGAGACTAACAAATTTATTTGAGCATAAGCTTTCGTGAATTAAATTTATGCTCAAATAAATTTGTTAGTCTCTAAGGTGCCACAAGTACTCCTTTTCTTTTTGCGAATACAGACTAACACGGCTGCTACTCTGAAACCTGTATAGAGATAGATGTTTTAGAATGATTCCAGACTTCAAAGTCCTTGGAGGGTTTATATTGCATAGTAAGAGATGAGATTTATGTAGGGAAAAAATAGTTGCAGGGTCTTTTACAATAGCAGATTTGTGAACTTCTCTTTTGAAGCAGGTGCCCCAAAAGAACCTGAGGACTATCACTTGAGCCACAGCCTTAATATGAGGAAGTTAATAAGTGATTGGAAAGACCTAGAACGATGTTTTAACTCTTATTTTTCATTCATGTGCAGCTAGGTCTCTAAAACCTTGGTTCATTGCAAAGCAACTAGAACATTCAGGTGTATGTTGGGATTCTTGAGGAACTTATTCAACTCCATTTGAGGACAGGAGAGAGCTCTCAGAAAATCTGACCTATTTTTATGTTGGGTAGTACAATTGATGGTATCATGGGTACACTGTAGGTTGGCATCATATTGCATTTTGGATTGCTTGTGCAACACGTTTTGTGTTAAGATACTGGGTTACCAGAACCTTGGTAGTGGGTTTTAGTTAGGCTATGGGGGGTTGGTCTCAGTAAGGATTATTAAGGGGTCAGCAAAGGTGGATTTGAATAGGGATTTGGGGTTTAAGGAGCTGCAATGAGAGGGAGAGATCTGACACTGTCAGAAAACCAATTAAGGGATGTCAAGGTAAGATATAGTTAAGACAGGGTGTTAGTCTGGTCACTGAGATTGATGCAGCACAGAGGAGGCTGCAGGCTTAACTGGAAGCAATTAACCAGTTTCTGTTGGGAGATTACTGACACCTGGGTGGTAATTGCTGGGCTAATGAGACAATTGGCTCAGTAATTGCAAGGATATATAACTGGGAGGAACAGGAAGCAGGGGAGCTCAGTGAGCGAGTTGGCACAGGAGAGAAGGCTGTGTGTGGAAGTCTTCTGCTGAATACCCATGTCATGTCATGTTCTGTTTTGCTTAAAAACTGAAGAAGAAATGTACATCTGGTAAAAGGGAAACAGCCTGGGTGTGTTTGTGACTGAGGAACCACAAAAACAGGCTAGGCAGCACTGCTTACTGGGTAGCTGATGTGGAATCCTGTGAAATAATGCTACAAGAGTGTGGGTAGGCTGGGATTGGTCCACCTAAAGTCATACGGATTTGCCTAGTATAGAGGCCTGCTGCTGTCAGGCTACTGTTTCTTCACAGGGAAGAGAGTTACCTCAGAAAAGGACATCTCCAGTCATGGAGATGCTGAAGAGCATGTGTCGTTGAGGTTTCCCTGATGAATTGGGAGCCCATTAATTTAGGACTGGAGCGGCTACATCCACAGCACAGTATGAAATAGGAACACAGTTATTTCAGGTATTAGTGGGGGCATCCAAATGCGTACAAGTGTATGGAAGTCCCCTTCTGGGATGATTATTCAGTGGTCTAAATGTGCTATACTCTTCCTTTTTATCTCTTCCTTCAAGATCAAGATAATAGGTCACAGGAATAGGTATCTGGTTGTGGAGGTGAAGTATTGTGCACTTGGTCCCCACAGGTGGGTGGCCAGTTCTCTCTGGAAATTCAAAGCTGGGCCTCAGTGATGAGGCAGCTCTAAATTGGTCTAGCTGGAGGGGCAGACTCTGGGATCAGCAGCTTCCACTCTTACATTCATTGGCCAGGAAGGGGCCATGTGAATGGATCATTGTGTACCTTGTAGGAAACTATTTGGGGATTTAGTAAAGGAGTACAGATAAGGATTAGGACAAAGGTATTAGGAGTGGAACTAAGTCCTTTTCCTGGGGGTAATTGTGAACTGACCTGAGCTGCTGCAGTGGAGGATCTGTTGTGGGGAGTGGGTGGGCAAGGCCAGGTGAGAATTAAATTGACTGGTGGCTAAATTATGTGAGCAGGAAAAATTGATGATTACCCATCATGAAAATGCATATTCAATACTTGAGTTATTCAAAGAAGAGGTTGTACATCTCTCCAGGGGCAATGGAGGTTAATCTGGCGGCCATTAGAATGAAGTGTTAACAATCTGGGAATCCAGCAGGTATGGTGGGGAGGAAGCCAAGCAAATTTCTGGTGCCTCCTGGTGGCAGGTGCCCAGTGCAGGTAATGGTTCAGTATGGGGTCTAGTTCACTGATAAACTGGAAATGGAAATGGATTAGGAGAAGGCATTTTCTAAAGAAGTTGGGGACTGGGGTTGGGGCTCTTAATGTCCAATACGCTGAGGAAACAACCCCTCAGTAACTCTCATATGAGGAAAAGACAATAGGTTCCAATAATGATGCTGGGACCAGGTTAACTGAGGAGTTGGGGAGGCTGATGGCAGCCCTCCACCAGGTGGCATGGATTACAAAGGAAGGGTGACCTGCACTGGATGAATTGTTGCTGGATAGTTTCTAAATGTGTTAATAAAGTTGTGGCCTAGTTAAACCATGTTCCTGGTGTCTTGTGTTGTGTTCCCACAGTGTCTGGTGCAAAGAGTTATAGAATCATAGAATATCAGGGTTGGAAGGGACCTCAGGAGGTCATCTAGTCCAACCCCCTGCTCAAAGCAGGACCACTCCCCAACTAAATCATCCCAGCCAGGGCTTTGTCAAGCCTGACCTTAAAAACCTCGAAGGAAGGAGATTCCACCATCTCCATGGGTAACCCATTACAGTGCTTCACCATCCTCCTAGTGAAAAAGTTTTTCCTAATATCCAACCTAAACCTCCCCCACTGCAACTTGAGACCATTACTCCTTGTTCTGTCATCTGCTACCATTGAGAACAGCCTAGATCCATCCTCTTTGGAACCCCCTTTCAGGTAGTTGAAAGCAGCTATCAAATCCCCCCTCATTCTTCTCTTCTGCAGACTAAATAATCCCAGTTCCCTCAGCCTCTCCTCATAAATCATGTGCTCCAGCCCCCTAATCATTTTTGTTGCCTTCCACTGGACTCTTTCCAATTTTTCCACATCCTTCTTGTAGTGTGGGGCCCAAAACTGGACACATTACTCCAGATGAGGTCTCACCAATGCCAAATAGAGAGGAATGATTACATCCCTCGATCTGCTGGCAGTGCTCCTACTTATACAGCCTCAAATGTCATTAGCCTTTTTGGCAACAAGGGCACACTGTTGACTCCAGCTTCTTGTCCACTGTAACCCCTAGGTCCTTTTCTGCAGAACTGCTTCCTATCTACTTGGTCCCTAGACTGTAGCAGTGCATGGGATTCTTCTGTCCTAAGTGTACTTGTCCTTGTTGAACCTCATCAGATTTCTTTTGGCCCAATCCTCTAATTTGTCTAGGTCCCTCTGTATCCTATCCCTACCCTCCATCTTCTCTACCACTCCTCCTAGTTTAGTGTCATCTGCAAACTTGCTGAGGGTGCAATCCACGCCATCCGCCAGATCATTAATAAAGATATTGAACAAAACTGGCCCCAGGACTGACCCTTGGGGCACTCGGCTTGATGCCGGCTGCCAACTAACAGGGCCGGCTCCAGGCACTAATTTTCCAAGCAGGTGCTAGCAGTGGCATTCAGAATGGGGTGGCAGTCTGTGTCCTGTGGCGGCAATTCGGCGGCAGCTCTGCCGCTCTTCCCACTGTGGCGGCTTTTGGGCAGCAGCTCTGCTGCTTTTCCGGGTGTGGCGGCAATTTGGCGGCAGCTCTGCTGGTATCGTGGCGGCAGCAATTCGGTGGCGACTGCTTCGGGTAGCAAAATTGGGCAAATAGCTCCCCTGCCAACTAGACGTGGAGCTATTGATCACTACCTGTTGAGCCCGATGTTCTAGCCAGATTTCTATCCACCTTATCGTCCATTCATCCAGTCCATACTTCTTAACTTGCTGGCAAGAATACTGTGGGAGGCCATATCAAAAGCTTTGCTAAAGTCAAGGAATAACACGTCTACTGCTTTCCCCTCATCCACAGAGCCAGTTATCTCATCATAGAAGGCAATTAGGTTAGTCAGGCATGACCTTCCCCTTGGTGAATCCATGTTGAGTGTTCCTGATCACTTTCCTCTCCTCGAAGTGCTTCAGAATTGATTCCTTGAGGACCTGCCCCATGATTTTCCCAGGGACTGAGGTGAGGCTGACTGGCCTGTAGTTCCCCGGATCCTCCTCGTTCCTTTTTAAAAGATGGGCACTACATTAGCCTTTTTCCAGTCACCCGGGACCTCCCCCGATGGCCATGAGTTTTCAAAGATAATGGCCCATGGCTCTGCAATCACATCCGCCAGCTCCTTTAGCACCCTTGGATGCAGTGCATCTGGCCCCATGGACTGGTGCTCATTCAGCTTTTCTCAATAGTCCTGAACCACTTCTTTGTCCACAGAGAGCTGGTCACCTCTTCCCCATACTGTGCTGCCCAGTGCAGTAGTCTGGGAGCTGACCTTGTTCGTGAAGACAGAGGCAAAAAAAGCATTGAGCACATTAGCTTTTTCCACATCCTCTGTCACTAGGTTGCCTCCCCTGTTCAGTACGGGGCCCATGCTTTCCCTGACCACCTTGTTGTTGCTAACATACCTGTAGAAACCCCTCTTGTTGTTCTTAACATCCCATGACAGTTGCAGCTTGGCCTTCCTGATTTCATTCCTGCATGCCTGAACAATATTTTTATACTCCTGCCTGGTCATTTGTCCAAGCTTCCACTTCTTGTAAGCTTCTTTTTTGTGTTTAAGATCAGCAAGTATTTCACTGTTAAGCCAAGCTGGTCACCTGCCATATTTACTATTCTTTTTACACATCGGGATGATTTGTTCCTGCAACCTCGATAAGGATTCTTTAAAATACAGCCAGCTCTCCTGGATTCCTGAAGTTCGGTCAGTTGAACTTCATTTTTCATCAGGAAAATTTTTTTCCTGATACATTTCCGGAGTTTACCCTTAAATGAACTTGAGGTTTAATAAATCCTAAAAAAAAATGTTCTTTATCCTTTTGTCCTCATCCAAAACGTAAGAGACTATGGAATTAGTTGGGACACCTAATATTTAGTGAAGAACTGGTAGGTGTATAGGACAGAGCAAGAAAAAATTCCTAATTTAACTTTCTCTGAATTACATGTCCACTGCTCCCACCAGCCTTTTAAAATGATTTGTTACAGCATATGCAGATACTGAGGTGCATTTTATGTAACTAATTCAATAACAGTTTTCCTATTGTGTGTAGCATTATATAGTTTTTGAAAGAAACTAAAAGTTAAATTCTTGCACTGAAGAAGCTTATAGATGAACTTTGTAGCTACCCTCACATACTGTCAAGGAAGGATGACCTTTTAATTGAACATCTAATTCATAGAAAAGAAAGTAGCTAATATGTGAGAAATTTTCTTCTCTGATTAAGTGTACTTTGCCAGCTCATAGCTTCCTCCAAACAGTCAACATAATGCTGCACTGTGTTTTGGTTTCTAAGAGTAATACAGTTAGCAATTTCCCTTTAAAAGTATGTGTCAGCTGTCAACATTGTGATGTGCCTGATCTCCTCTCTCTTGCAGAGCACAATTCCATTCTAAATTCAAATCATCTGCATGGCAATGCAACAAGGCTGCCAGAATCTACTCTCTCTTCTACTTTTTAATTCCCTATTCCTATTCAATACATTTTTATTTTATGTGTTTGATCAAGCTGAAACTGCTATACATTAACTAATTTTACTTGTCTTCAGTTAAAATCACTGAAATAATCGGTGTAAGTTTTTTTGCTTACACACTTATTTTTAGCAAATAAGCTACTTTATTTAACTTCTGACTTGTCTAAACACGTTGAAAGTATTGAATTTTAAGGCATAACATTCATATTCTGAAAAGGGAACAGTGACAAGTTCAGTCAAAAGGAAAAAGAGGAATAATTTATAAAAGGAACTGTAGATAATGATGCCAGCCAGTTGTTTTAAAGTGCATCTATCTCAACTTTAATGAATTAGATTTGTCAACAGCATATGTTTTATGCACTACTTCTAATGAAGTGGCATACCGGCAATGCAGTGTACTTTGAGGTTTACTCCATCAAAGCTCTTTGCTGTCTTAAAGTAGACCTTTTTAAATAATAGATATTAAAAACTACATTTAAATAACATTAAGGTTGTGACACAAACACCAAATGACAAACTTCAGGCAATTCAAAGTTAAAGCTGACAACTTGTCATTAACTCACATTGTTGCTTTTTAAAAAGAAGCACAATAGCATGATTTAAGGACTGAGTGTCAGCTTAACTTTAAATTTCTTGGCTTTTGTTCTCTGGTGTCACAACCTTAATGTCATTTTTCATATAGGTTTTTGCATTTCCTTTACTACTTATTTCTTTAAAAAAACACTCTGTGTTTTTGTACCCAGAAGACAGAAATGGATTCTTCAGTAGTTTTGGTCTATTTGTTAAAAGCATATTTAGGCAGGAGTTTAATTTTTAATTGTGGACTAGTGGTGGTATTAGTGTTTCCCAACATACATCCTAGCTACTTGACTGAGAGTTCTTCCCATTGCCACAGCTGATCCATTCTGGAGAGGACTCTCGAAGGAATTTCCATTCCTTTATACAAAATTATGAGTTTTTAAAACTCTTCACAATTCTCAGTCATTTTTAATAATTACTTGACTTGAAAGAGTCAAGAACCCTCTTTTCACAAAGTTGTATTACAGAATATTCAGTTGATGGATGGGATATACTGTACTTCTATAGCAAACAGCAGTAGCCCTTTTTCACCCATGTGGATCCCTCCAAGTTAAATCTGACTCAGACTAAGTTATTGGTCAGAAGATTTACACACACACACAAATTTGAGGCATGCACCAGCTGAAATGAAGAAACTCAAAGTTAAAACCAGCACTTAAATTAAAAAAAAAAAAAATCTGTCCAATAGCATAAGTTAACAATTTATCAATGGGAATGAAGAATTTTCTCTTTTTATTGAAACATGTTTTTATGTAGCATTAAAACATCTTTAAGACTTACTTTTGAATTTTTTTATTCCTAAAATGCTACCAGTCAGTAATCTTATTACTTGTTTGTTTGTTTTTTACATAGGGCTATTGAAAAACTTCTGCTAGTGCTATGTGAACTCAACATGATCCCTTAAGAAAACTGTTAAAGCTGAAGATCACAAGGTGATGTTACAAAGAAAATCTGTTTAGTGAAGGTACTGTAGAGTACAGTCTGTACTTAGTACAGATGTACCTGGCAGGATATTTTTCAAGATTGCCCTGTTATAAATTATATATGTTTATGAAAATCTAAGTGTGAAAATTGTCATAGCTGTCATACATTTGCATTCAAAACACAATTTTCCTCCCACTGACCAGAAGCAAAGGATGAAAGATAGGTTTACATTTTAAAAATTCTTTGACATATAGGTCAGATGTTTCTAATCAAGACTATGTGAGATTTTATTCTTTAGACACTTGTTTGGAGAACCATGTAACAGCTGCTGACTTTGAATTTCAGCTTTTTTATTTTTTTTAAGTTAAAAGAAAAGTTAAAAGTGATCTTGCTCAGGGTGAGCCACTACAGAAATTCATAACTTCTCTGTGGACCAGATGTACTTGGCATAATCATAGAGAAATAGGTAGATTTGGGCTCTGAATATACTTTAGATGATTGTGTTGTAATATGTGAACAGGTCAGAGCAATGTAGTAGTTTATATATAACAGTATTTTATATTATATATCATATGATACGTGGTCATAGGACATAGCAATTATTTTGATGCTAGTTTGCAGATTGTTTATATGAGTTGTTAAATGCTTAGTTATTTAACCAAAGGGTATATTAAAGGTTATTTTACGTGAGAAGTAGTCAATAAGCAGACCTTGGGCCAAATCTGGACTGCCAGAGGCTTTTCAAGGGACTGCTCGGGCTGAAGCCGAGCCAGGGCTGCAGCCCTGTGGAGCCATGCCCACTTCCCAGTGTAGGGCCTCCCAGCATGGGGCAAGTGGTTGGACTGTGCTGTGCAGCGCAGTGTGTCCCTGGGCAGCTGCTTGTGCAGCCACAGCCCCACAAGCAGCATCACAGGGATGCCGGGGGGGGGGGGGGAAGTGGTGATGTTTGGGGGAGGATGTCTCCACCACCCTCCCCCAGGCAGCCTAATGTGTCTCCACTACACCCTGTCCCTCCAGTCAGGGAACAATCGAGTGTCATGTGCTCATTCTATAGCCTAATCAGAAGGCAGCGCTGTCAGGGCCCTATTCAAATTTTTCTCTGCTTTCCCTGGAGATGGTGGGGCCCTGACTGCGGGACAAGCCCCGGTATCGGTGGTGCCAACTACATTATTAGCACCGAAACCTGTCCTATGCCCCAAGCTCAGTGGCCAGCGTCATGGTACCTGGGGAACCCTTGAGGGGTTCACCCAACTTCCCAGGCTTCCCAATCAGTGTTGGGCCAGTAGCCTCGGTATCCCATCCCTCTCAGGTGCTTGAGACTTCGGAGGGTAAGACCCCACAGGTCCATGAGGACCCAGAGGAGCAAGCTGCTGGACCACCAATGGACGTGGAGGATCCCATAGCACTGGCATCATCCTTATCGTCACTAGACAAATCTATAATGGGGCCCCCTCACCCGGTTCCTGAGGATGACACCAAAGCTCACCACGGACTTTTGAAGAGGGTCACTTGTAACTTCAGGCAGAGGAATTGGAAGAGCCCTCTGGAAGAATCCTCGGACTCCCTGTTTGACCATCCTATACTCCTTGGCTCCTGCCACGGGGGGCTCTACCCCTTCATGAAGGTGTTTTCAAGATCCCTAATGCCCTGTGGCAGACCCCCTTTTCCCTGGCCCCATCTCTAAAAGGGCCGAATGCAAGTATTTTGTGCCAACCAAGGGGCATGAGTACTTGTACTCCCACCCAGGCCCCAATTCCCTTGTGGTCGAGGTGGTAAAACACAAGAAGAGGCAGAGACAACCAGGGGCCAGAAATAAAGACTCCAGGAGGCTGGATCTTTTTGGACTTAAGGTTTATTCGTCTTCCAGCCTTCAGCTGAGAGTAGCCAACCACCAAGCCCTCCTTGGCCGATATGACTTCAATATGTGGGATAACTCACATGACTGGAGTACTGTCATGGATGGTTATAAACTGTTCAGGAAGGACAGGTGGCAGAAAAGGTGGGGGAGTAGCACTGTATGTAAGGGAGCAGTATGACTGCTCAGAGCTCCGGTATGAAACTGCAGAAAAACCTGAGTGTCCCTGGATTAAGTTTAGAAGTGTGAGCAACAAGAGTGATGTAGTGGTGGGAGTCTGCTATAGACCACCGGACCAGGGGGATTAGGTGGATGAGGCTTTCTTCCGGCAGCTCTCAGAAGCTACTAGATCGCACGCCCTGGTTCTCATGGGTGACTTTAATTATCCTGATATCTGCTGGGAGAGCAATACAGCGGTACATAGACAATCCAGGAAGTTTTTGGAAAGCGTAGGGGACAATTTCCTGGTGCAAGTGCTAGAGGAGCCAACTGGGGGGGAGCTTTTCTTGACCTGCTGCTCACAAACCGGGAAGAATTAGTAGGGGAAGCAAAAGTGGATGGGAATCTGGGAGGCAGTGACCATGAGTTGGTTGAGTTCAGGATCCTGACACAGGGAAGAAAGGTAAGCAGCAGGATACGGACCCTGGACTTCAGGAAAGCAGACTTCGACTCCCTCAGAAAATGGATGGGTAGGATCCCCTGAGGGTCTAACATGAAGGGGAAAGGAGTCCAGGAGAGCTGGCTGTATTTCAAGGAATCCCTGTTGAGGTTACAGGGACAAACCATCCCGATGTGTCGAAAGAATAGTAAATATGGCAGGTGACCAGCTTGGCTTAACGGTGAAATCCTAGCGGATCTTAAACATAAAAAAGAAGCTTACAAGAAGTGGAAGGTTGGACATATGACCAGGGAAGAGTATAAAAATATTGCTCGGGCATGTAGGAATGAAATCAGGAGGGCCAAATAGCATCTGGAGCTGCAGCTAGCGAGAGATGTTAAGAGTAACAAGAAGGGTTTCTTCAGGTATGTTGGCAACAAGAAGAAAGCCAAGGAAAGTGTGGGCACCTTAATGAATGAGGGAGGCAACCTAGTGACAGAGGATGTGGAAAAAGCTAATGTACTCAATGCTTTTTTTGCCTCTGTTTTCACGAACAAGGTCAGCTCCCAGACTGCTGCGTTGGGCATCACAACATGGGGAATAGATGGCCAGCCCTCTGTGGAGAAAGAGGTGGTTAGGGACTATTTAGAAAAGCTGGACGTGCACAAGTTCATGGGGCCGGACGAGTTGCATCCGAGAGTGCTAAAGGAACTGGCGGCTGTGATTGCAGAGCCATTGGCCATTATTTTTGAAAACTCGTTGTGAACGGGGGAAGTCCCGGATGACTGGAAAAAGGCTAATGTAGTGCCCATCTTTAAAAAAGGGAAGAAGAAGGATCCTGGGACCTACAGGCCAGTCAGCCTCACTTCAGTCCCCGGAAAAATCATGGGGCAGGTCCTCAAAGAATCAATCCTGAAGCACTTACATGAGAGGAAAGTGATCAGGAACAGTCAGCATGGATTCACCAAGGGAAGGTCATGCCTGACTAATCTAATCGCCTTCTATGATGAGATTACTGGTTCTGTGGATGAAGGGAAAGCAGTGGATGTATTGTTTCTTGACTTTAGCAAAGCTTTTGACACGGTCTCCCACAGTATTCTTGTCAGCAAGTTAAAGAAGTATGGGCTGGATGAATGCACTATAAGGTGGGTAGAAAGTTGGCTAGATTGTCGGGCTCAATGGGTAGTGGTCAATGGCTCCACGTCTATTTGGCAGCCGGTGTCAAGTGGAGTGCCCCATGGGTCAGTCCTGGCGCCGGTTTTGTTCAATATCTTCATAAATGATCTGGAGGATGGTGTGGATTGCACTCTCAGCAAATTTGCGGATGATATTAAACTGGGAGGAGTGGTAGATACGCTGAAGGGCAGGGATAGGATACAGAGGGACCTAGACAAATTGGAGGATTGGGCCAAAAGAAATCTGATGAGGTTTAATAAGGATAAGTGCAGGGTCCTGCACTTAGGACGGAAGAACCCAATGCACAGCTACAGACTAGGGACCGAATGGCTAGGCAGCAGTTCTGCGGAAAAGGACCTAGGGGTGACAGTGGACGAGAAGCTGGATATGAGTCAGCAGTGTGCCCTTGTTGCCAAGAAGGCCAATGGCATTTTGGGATGTATAAGTAGGGGCATAGCGAGCAGATCGAGGGACGTGATCGTTCCCCTCTATTCGACATTGGTGAGGCCTCATCTGGAGTACTGTGTCCAGTTTTGGGCCCCACACTACAAGAAGGATGTGGATAAATTGGAAAGAGTCCAGCGAAGGGCAACAAAAATGATTAGGGGTCTGGAACACATTACTTATGAGGAGAGGCTGAGGGAACTGGGATTGTTTAGTCTGCAGAAGAGAAGAATGAGGGGGGATTTGATAGCTGCTTTCAACTACCTGAGAGGTGGTTCCAGAGAGGATGGTTCTAGACTATTCTCAGTGGTAGAAGATGACAGGACAAGGAGTAATGGTCTCAAGTTGCAGTGGGGGAGGTTTAGGTTGGATATTAGGAAAAACTTTTTCACTAGGAGGGTGGTGAAACACTGGAATGCGTTGCCTAGGGAGGTGGTGGAATCTCCTTCCTTAGAGGTTTTTAAGGTCAGGCTTGACAAAGCCCTGGCTGGGATGATTTAATTGGGGATTGGTCCTGCTTTTGAGCAGGGGGTTGGACTAGATGACCTCCTGAGGTCCCTTCCAACCCTGATATTCTATGATTCTATGATAAGCCATGGCCAAGTTTGAAGGGGCGCTCCCCAAGGCTTCCAAAAGTTCTGAGCGATCCTTGATGAGGGCATGACCGCAGCCAGGGCGGCCCTCCAAGTGGTGTCAAACGCTGATGATGCTGTTGCCTGCATCGTGGCTTCCGCTATCTCCAGGTGGCGAGAGTCTTGGCTGCTCCTCTCTGGGTTGTCCACCGCGGCCCAGCAGTCTATGCAGGACCTGCCCTTCAACAGCTGGGCCCTATTTGTGGAGCAAAAAGAAAACAAATGGCATGACCTTAAAGACTCCCGCACCACCCTGAAGACCATCAGTCTCTATGTCCCAGCCCTGGCGCATAAGCGGTTCAA